GTCACCCAGGTTGCAAATCTGTTTATTTTCCATAACTATGGCGTTGGTTTTTGACGATATTATCGTGACGATGAATTATGCATTGGACAAACTTCTTGACTTGTTAGAGAAGGTTCTTTATGGCGAAATTGAGCATGATGAAGGAGTATGTATGATTTTTGATCATGTCTATGAGATCAGTATGAAGCTCAGGTCGATCCATAATTTTAAAGTGCAAATTGATTATGATGCGCTCGACGTAGAATTGTTTTGCTCGGTACAGGATTTAGTTCGTGGTCCCCCAATTTTGACAAGTTTGATTCCTTCGGAGTTACAAAATTTTAGAACACACATGTTGGGCGCTATGAAAATTCTCATTGATACTCCGCCTTCTGCGCCAAATCTGGTCTCTACAGTACTTGAGCAACACATTGAAGCATATGGTCAAGCATCCAAGGAGGAATCAAGTGTTGACTCACAAGTTGGAGATGAAGTGGACACCGGGCCCGAAGCAATAAACAAAGATGACGGGGGGTCCAACATTGTGGGAAAAAATGAAGGTCCTCTTGTAGAAGATGTTGCTAATGTCGACAAGTTAGATTCTACTTTTCAGGAATTTTATACCTCAGCTGGAGTAGTCATTGCAAAGGATGATGTTCCAAAAAGTGTTGAAAAAGTGGCAGATGGAGATGCTAAGCAAGCATGCTCACTTATTTTGATTGACACCATCAAATTATTTGAGCTTGCCGATGTTGTCCCGTATGAGCACCGGGGTTCAAAGAAAATAGTTCAAGGCAAGTTTGGTATACTCTTATATTTCTACCGCTTTACTTCATCTGAGAAGCTCCTTGAAGATTGGTCTACAACTGGACATCTGTTCTGGTTCAACACGTTCTCACATGTCCAAAAGCTTGAGTGGGAACCTCCACCGTGAGGACAAGGTGGTTTTTAAGGGGGCGAGAATGATATGATAGTATATTAGTCATATTATTTATTAATTAGTAGTCTTTATTAATATCTTATATTTAATCTAGTTTAGGGTTTAGTTACTTTAGTATGGGCCCGAGCCCATTAGGTCATTTCGTGTTACCGTATTACTCTATATATTGTAATCCTTTCCCGTTATTCTGGAATCAATAAAGAAATATCAAAACTTTAATCT